CCTGGCACAGTGGAACAGCCAGAATCAGCAAAACCACAAGTGCGCTTGCGCACGACACATTCGAGCTTACGTTAGCCGAACCTCCACTGCTAGCTAATGACGCACCTACATCAGACCTATAAAACAGTAAACGGGAGCCTCGAAAATGGTATAATGGCGGATGCTTAGTGCACACAGTTACGAGGAAAACCTATATTCCCAACTAATTCAATCCTAAGGTCTTAGAGGCATGGTTGTCAAAGCCCCGCCTAAAGGTCTCAGCAAAATTATCGGTACTACAAACTGCTTCCTGTCTTTCCTCTTTCGGCTCCTTATCTTTCTTTATTTTTCTTGGCCTAAGCCTTGTGTCCCAAGAGTAAAGCGGACCGAGGCCTTTTGTTATCTAGTATGTAAAAACAGTGATAGCTTTTGCAGTCTTCACCACATGAATTGCAGGCAGCGAAGCTCATATTGGCCAAATGAAAATTGAGCTGGCCTGCTGTCTCCATGTGGTCAAGGCATATGTTGCCCGGCACTATGCTCTCTACAACTTGAAGGTATAGCAAAAGTAGACTTTTCCCTCATTGCATTTCGCTAAGTTTCACTATCTTCAAAAGAATGCTCGAGGAGCTCATCTTACCATAGAATAATCGAGGCGAGTTCACAGATACTGAATCGTTTAGCATGATCGCGAAGTTATAATTGAAACTCTTTTTTATTTTCAATTAGTTACGTGCGAAAAACCATATTTTTCAGTCTTTCTGCTCGCGCGTCGCAACCATCGCTACTTCTGTGCTGTGCCCTGGCTTACTAGATGCGTTTTATCACATAGAATCTATATATCCGCACTGTTTTCCATGTTTTTCTTTCTTCTTTTCGTGGTTTGATTGGAAAGTAAAACCGCAATTTTAGCGAAGATTAACCTAGGGCGTTATTCTCAGTTTTTCATAACTTGCAAACACTTGATGATATCACATTTATTTCACCATTATAAGGTAGAGCACCGCCTGTTTGCTGCGTTTGGCTTGTTTGCTTTTACATTTGCTCCATTTGTCGCTCTAGAAAGCTGTTTAGGCTGGTAGTCCAATTCGTTCAGTCGCCCTTTAATGTCACTCACTGATTTAATGTTTGAATGGCATACTGCGTATCCTGTGCATGCTTAAAGCATTGATTTAACTAGTTGCATTATATTTCGCTTAACATATACAAACTTGTGTCTGGTCTTAGGACTTTTCGCCTTTTGCTACTGCATTTATTTGTTTTATTCCCCCCCCCCGTTTAACCTAATTCTCCTGCTCTATTTACACATTTATCGGGAGATTGGCTTGGCTGCTTTGGCCATCTGGAGGAAGAAAATGAAAACGCGCTTCTGTAAGCTGGATCGTGGTTGGCAAACGCAAACTCACACAGGAGGTAAATTGCAACCTGGCACTCACAATGCGGGCGCTCTCATCTGGCTGTTTGGAATCCCGGTTGCAAAACACCTGACAAATAACACCTGAAAAACATACGAATGAGCATGACGCTTCTGTACATTTGGATCTGGCTATCTGGGGTTCAATCTCTCGCAGACGAGAATAAATACTTCTTTAAAACGCCAACTGGGTTGGCTCTATATTACTTATCACAATATTCCAGTATGTTTTTACTGGGTATGTCGAGCTGCAAGTACATGTTTAGTTAGTTTATCCCAATTGGGTTTCAAGCCAGATAGGCCAGCTATAATACCAGAAAAGCGCCAGATGGCCGTTTCGTCCCATTGAGGCTCGTAAGTGATGCGCATTCTCGCAGTTCCCATCAGGAAACTTATGCCACCGTAGTTTGGTTTAAGTAGATAAGTTGCTGCTGCAGCTTGTTCGTGCATCTCAAAGCTCTTTTCTGTCTGCTGTCACGAGGTGTCATCGGGTCTCTGTCATGATGCACGGAATCGTTTGTCAAACAAACTCGGAAAAACTCGGTTATAGACTAGCCATCCGAATGTTGCAAATGTCTTCCGCGGAATCACGAACCCGCTCTACGTCACATTAACTCAAGACTATAACATGATTACAAGCTGACTGGATGGTACAATGACGATGAAATACTGCGGAAACTTTGGAGTTTCGATCAAGCAGAAAGACTTGCTTGGTATAAGAGAGAATAATTTTATTTTAACTAGAAAAATCAAGAAAAGGAGAGTTTGAGAGCCCCATCGACATACTACGACTACACGCAGTTGGAATGTTATAAACAGACGGAACAGTACTAAAATGTCCGTTCCGTCCCTTCGTAACCATGACATCGATTGGTGGCATCTCCTGCAGTATGAAGGCTTACGGTTCTCTTCATAGATCATTGCGTCACTACTTCGAGCCTTTCACTGGGCCCGCGCAACCGCCACTGTCAAAAACTATCGAAACAGTGAGGCCAACGAACAGTGTTAGTTAAGAGGGTCTTTTGATGTCTAGTTGTGTTTTTCTGTGGTGTATTACAGTCCATTATTGAGAATTCCTCCCATATGGCAGTGATTTGTACGGGGAAAACTTTAAGTGATCTGTACAGGTGCTCACCTCGTAACCTGACAACTGTTTTTCGTATGCTGCAAAAGAATCGCTGAGGAGTTGGAAATGCGCCGCTAAGTCAAGAAGACCAGTGGAAGTCACTTCGCTCCTGGCCAGCTGACCCTCTAAACGTCGGCGATCACGAGAGAGACGATCCTTGTCCCAAGTGCCATGTTTGACTTGTTGTTCAGATTGTTTGAGCAGTCGTTTTGCTTTTGTTTTCCACTGTTTACGTACTTTTTCGGGTAACGTCGACCAAATAGCCTAAAAAGATGTAAACAGGTGAATAAATTTAGGAGGATGGAAGTTCCAAAGCTGACATAGAACGTATTCGGCGCAAATGGACAAGTTATAGACGCGGTGATTGCTGAAAAAGGTATCGGAAAAACGCCATCTCAACGTTCGGATACTTCCCTCCCAGGCGATCACCAGTGGCTGTATACGAGTTATTCTTATAGGAACAGAGAAAGGAAATCAGCGCGCGGAGGCTGCAAAGGAGATATCCTATGGTCTCTACACCCCGACAGTTTTGATTAGGCGTGCGGTAACCCACTTAACGTTGTGACAGTTAGAGGTGATACAACTACCTATATAGAGGAATCGGTAGACCACTTAGAAAAGTTACAGCCGGCCCGTAGCCTTAAGGATCACAAGCCTGCCTTGTAATCCGAGGGCGCGGGATATAGCATACGTAGTGACCGGGCGACCATCGCAGTATCCTTAGTCCGCGTGCAACTGGCGGTGATTTCGCGGTAGCGAAGCACCTGTATTGGTTATCGGCGTACTGCTGATGGCTTAGAGCAGTTGTTAGACAATGATCAAAATTAGTGACTTGTCGGCCAAGCTTTGCAGCTGTACATTGCATTTTGAAAATGTGAAGCAAATGTAAGAATGTGTAGCGCTCTGTATCAGTCCACCCGGAAGCATCTGTAGGGAGATTAAATCCGACCTATAAAAGAAGAATCGTCCGCGCCTTCCGATTTTGCCAGTGGTTTATCCGGTAGAAATGCCATTGAAAAAGATGTAATGTCTGAGACAGTTATGATAACTCCAAGTACAAAGCTGGAAAAATGATAAAATAAAGGAATTTTGTCATGTACTCTCGCGTAGGGAAACATGGTACAATTTCAACTACCCCGATCAGAACACGAACTTAGTTGACAAATCTGTAAAAGCCTCTCATTGCGAAAGCCCCCTTATCGAAGATGGAACATTTAAGTCCCCTGGGAAAGCACAATGCATCCATTCCTTGCTCAGTGTGTGCCAATTTACACTGCGATCAAGCAGTAAGGTGTGTGTACCTATTAACCAATGAAAACTATCCTCAACAGCCCTTGGTCGGGATAGAAGACTCGACACGTGATCGGTTTCGCCGTGAAATATCTCGACATTATTACTTGTTATTGCCCACGAAACGACCTCATTCAACCGCGGGTCGACTTTCTTCGACAGAGCGAGGGCGCGAAACGGACCTGGTTGAGTGAAGATGAAAAGGTGAGGCTAGGAAAGCACAGTAAGGTGCATCACCAGTGACCGCACAGTCGAGGACATGATTGGAATCACGAGATTGCATAAAGGCGAGTGACGTACTTGCCATTTACGATTCGCGTCCTTCGGACCCGCAGCATTGGGTTCCCCCAACTCGTTCACATCGTCAACAGACAGCGCTCCACCAGCCAAAGCTCCGTACTTGCGCTTGTTCACCAAAACGAAGAGAGTGTAACCACTGAGACGCCTGTAGTTCTTCAGCTCCTGGTAATCAGAGTTTAAGGTGACAAATGCTGAACAGCGTTAGATGGACAGATGATTAGTAATAAGGTGATACTGAGCAAAGTACACAATAGTAAAGATGATAATAGGTGAGTTGGGGAAAAGACCACACAGGCAGTTATAAGGTCCATGGGAATGTCACAAACAAAGGTCACCTGTATGGTGATCAATAATGGAAGAAAGAAACTAAGATTGCACGGGGTTACACCACCGACACACAATTGGTCAAAACTGGCAGCGCCAATGAGTAATCAGCTCTGGAGCAGGAAAGAATGTTATTGATCCTTAGGACCGGGACAATATCCAGCCAATGAAATTAAGCTAGACGAGCAGTGATTGCGAACCAATCACAAACCGTTTCAACAATAAGGAATCACAACTGCTTGCAAGCCGAAAATAACTGATCATTTCGAAGGATATACTAGGATTAAAACAGTGCTTTTGTCTCTGGGATGTAAAAGAGAGATGAAGGACTGCATATCATAGCTAAGATACTTTGACTTGGTTAAATTGTTGATACAACAGTTGGGTCTTAATATGTTTGAGGCTCTTTTAAATAACATGAAGCAGACGTAAACGTCAGGAGTGCAAAGAGAGGTCGGAGTGCCAAAGGTGGTAGCCAACAGTGTACTCAAAGAAATGGCATGGAATGTATGACAAAAAGAGCAGTAGAAGACGATGCTGATAAAACTGGCCAGGAAGCTTCCTTTTATTAAGCGGGTAATCATTATTCGGTGTTGTTTTTTAGGGTAATCGAGTGAGACGATAGGCAAGTGATCTAGAAACCACTGCGCTCACTTGTAATTGGGAGAATAGGCGAACAGAACGGACGCGGAGTCGGTGGACATGCAATCACTCAAGCGCCGTCACAGATCCACCTATTACCAAGCAAGCTAGTAATTTTATGGGCTGGATGACCGCTTCAGAACCAGTTCGACGAAGCATGAAAGAGGCACAGTAATGTTTTGTCCACCATAGTGTCTCGTAGCCTGTCTTGGAGTAAGGCAACCTTAATTAGAGCATCGTCTGTGCCAAACGCGTCTCGCATGCTCGGGAGGCGCTGATATACGGCGTCGGCACTCCATGATCTGCACCCTGAGACTGGCGCTTCAGGCATGTTCAGTAGGCAGAGTTGATAGCTTTTCGTGTAGATTCGTCGCAGTTAGACACAGACAGACAGCCATCACACATCCAGGAAAGCGCTAGACGGCCGTTTCGTCCTATTGGGACGTCAGTAGTGCGCACTCGCTGAATCCTTCCGGATTCGAACCCACAACCTAACTCTTGCGAGTCAGCGACGTATGCCACTGAGCCATGGGTGACGGCAGCGGACCGCCATGACTGATATCAAACTGCGATATAGCGCGGCTCATCCTCCACTGTCTTGCATGTGCAGAGGACAGGGATGGCCCCCAGAGCAACGACTTCCTTTGCAAGCCGCCACCAATCGAGGTGGCAAGTATGCTGCTAAGGCGACTACTGATTATCCCCCTACTACTTACAAAGAATTGATAGCTGAAGGTACTCAGCACAGCAAATGCTCCGGCAGTTTCTTGGTCAATTCATTTTCCAATGACTAGCACACCGATCAGCATGATGTGTCAGTGCCCACATGGGATCACCGGGCAATGTGAGTTTTACTGTGATATGTAGGTCTGTTTGGTAATACAAATCTGAGCAGCAGTTCGAACGTTCAGCTATTGCTGCATCTAACATCCAGATGTACAAAGTGCGATTTCTAGAAAACTAGCACCTGAGGCAGAGTGAACACTTGAGCCAGTTCGAATAGCAATCCATTGTGGACGAGCAATCAGCCTGAAGATCAAAGAACTAACGGGATGTCGAGAGATTTTCGTCCTGTTATGTACACCGCGTTGGAAGAATGCTATCCATGTTGTCTTGGTCGTCAACCAGGTTCCTTTTCGCAAATGGCCGAGCCTACCACATGTCAAGATAACGCTATCTTGTGGTACATTAAGCGGTCGCGCTAGACACCTCTGCAAATTCTTCCAGAGAAGTTCAGCATCAAACGACACAGGAAGTATACGAATATAATTTGTACACGCCGGATGATGGACTGCAGACCTGTAATAATGGGTCTCACATGAACATTGTTTCACTGGTGCGTAATGCCGAATCAACTGATGTGGAGCAATATGCTCCCAGATAGCTCATATATTTGACAAGAATCAGAATCCGATGGGCTCAGACTGAAAGATGAGTTACAAGGCGTTTATTAAGAAATAAGCTGTTGTCATCAAGCAGTCCCGATGAATATTGCTACCATACAAATCCATACCTTGTTGCTATGCGGGGTAAAAGCAACAGAGCCCAACCAGAATTGGTTGTATAGCTGTAGCACATCTAAGGAAGCGCTCAACAGCCATTTCGTTCTACGCGGTCAGTAGAAGCGCGCACTTGTTTCGAGTTCGGCAAAATTCGCTCTCGCTACTGTGAAATGAGTAGTGGACAAGTTACACCGATAGGCGGCGGCGGTCACTTACAAAGAGATAGCAATTCTCGTCCCGTATTTGAGCGCAAAAAACCGGGTTAGCTCTCGGGGCTGAAACGCATACCTAAGTAGCTAACTGCCTCATGGCATTAGAAGATGGCGAGTGAAATCATTACTAACTCCAACAAATCTATCTAAATAAGTCGAATAGCTAATAAACTCGTTATGCAGCATTTCTGAACTCATTAGTTGACGATCGGTTGCAAATGTGCTTCAGGATGTTGGGCGTTAACCACTGCTCCGATAGCAACTGAGCATGCAGAAGCATCTTTGGCCGAATGACTTCGGTAGTCTGTTCAAGCAACTCGGTTGGCAATAACGAACGTCTACAGGAGTTTAAAAATCACCTGAGAAAACTCAACTTCGTTTGTAGTCCGCTACTAAGAAGGCTGTATTACTGATATTTAGAAAGCGTCCTCATTTAATATCATCCGCATATTTCAGGACAGAAAAAAGGAATTACCAAATGCGCATCAGCTCCATTTGGAGTCCCAAAAATCCAAACACTGGAAGAGCATCATCCCCAACGGATAAAGAGAAAACAGAGGGACTACCTGTGGATTCAATTCGCCCACGTTGCTGCTGCTTTTCATCCGACCGGTCACCATGGACTGTGAATTGTGTGCACCAGGAGGACCTCCAGGGGTCTGAGAATGTCCCGCAGATTCGGAAGGGACTGAACCAGGCGCACTCGGACCAATGTTGCTCTTGTCTGATTCGATTGCCGCCAAAGGGTCTATGGAGTACCGAAGGGTCCACATCGATTGAGAACAAAGTAAAATAAGGAGGAAAGGTACACGGAAATGTTCGTCCAGAGGATTTGCGAGTCAATCTCTGACGACCGTTAGACTATGCAATTCAGTTGTACAATGCAAAGCGGAATAAACGAGTGTGTCTCTTGTCTGCCTAATGGTTGTCTCGAATTGCTAGGGCCTTTAAATCGGCCATGCCTTTGGATGAATGTCATTTTTACGTTACATACTGTGGATATAACAGCTTTGCAAGATTATTTTCACAAACTCCTTGGTCCAACTATTTCCAAGGTCATTGACACAGTCCTAATCTAGCTGTATTTCGAATACACACCGCGAGCAACTGCGCAAGATGAGCGATTTGTTGTTTCTGGTCGCAAACATTAAGGTTGATGGAAAGCTATTATGAAGAAATGATTTGGTAAAACTACGCGGTGGACTAGATACAAGTCGCGGGCATTCGAATCAGCAATGTGCGATCGTTGCTTGGACGTTTACCCGAGTGACAATAGTGCACCCTTTTGCTGTTCGTTTATGTATTTTTTTAAAATTTGCAAATTTGTCGATGTCATTTAGTCCATCTGCAGCTGAGAATGTAAAATGTTGAAACGTACCCATACGGGTACATGAAGCCTGTATGGAGTTCACCTGACAAGCCAAATCACTTCGCGCAAGCATAAAGGGTAGCTATCAGTAGTACCCTGGTACGCAGTGCCGATGCTTCGTCGCACCGCAACCACCACTAGTCGCACGTGGGCAGAGGATAATGTGAGGGTCGTCCGGTCCCTACGCAGTCCCGAATAAGGGTACTCGAATTCGCGAAAGTATGTGCTGAATGGAAGCGAAAGCAAGGCAATCAGTACAGGGAGAAGCTCAAAGCGCCCATTTGCTGACTCCAAGATTAGCTGTGATAAGGCGACCATAGCTAATGGCCAAGAACCCGGTGATCTTAATCTCCATTTTTGTCGATTATTGTGACACCTTGCTAAGTATACTCATCAATGGAGGATTTTTGAGGTAACTAATTTGAGGTTTATCGCATCACCTTTCAAATCTTCCACATGCTCGGAAAAGCACTAGACTGCAGTTTCAGCCTGCTGGACATCGTTAGTAGTGCGCATCCATCGGATCCATTAGGATTCCAACCCGTGACCAACAGCGGCCTGCACCGCCAGTCAGCAGTTTATGCCACTGAGCCACGGGGACAGTTTCGGGCCGTCATGATTTACAAGCCAACTGCGATACAACGCGTCTTATCTTCCACTGCCGTGTAAGTTACGAAAGTTGCAAAGGACAGGATTGGTATTAGCTGCTGACTGGCAATTCAAGCTGCCAGCGGTCATGGGTGCGAATCCCGATGGATGGGCAATGGTGACGAGATCTAGCAGGCCGGCACTGCTGTCTAGAGCTTTTTCTGGCATATGAAAGACTGTCCGATGTGTAAGCTAGTGAGATGGAACCGGAATAAATTAACCCAGTTTCTGCTGGCGTTTTTTAAGGAATTATGTTAAAAAGGTGATTTAGTGTACTAAATTAACGAAATATTATTTTTTGACTGGACTTTCAGATAGGAAACTTAACCTTGTTATTCGGAAATCATTTCGGCAAATAAATGCTCAAATCATACTGTAAAATGCATCTTTGAAAAACACGCAAACTGTCAAAAACATTCATCACAAAAATCCATTGGTTCGCCTTTCCCCTCGAAGTAAATACCGATCCCAGTGACACAGTGCCAGCTAGTTACACGAATGGCTACGGCATCTCGACAAAATGTGATGGCTAGTTATCTGTGGAGCTAAAATAAAATTCATATGTTATAAAGAGGACGAATGAAAGGTAAAACACTGCGCGAATTATGTAGCTTTTCAGTGTATGAGTGAAATTTGTCCATGTGTAACCTAGCAAAAGGCACATATTCCTGATACGTAAGCGATAAAGCAATTAATGGCAAACGACCATGGTTAATCACAAATTGTGTCCATTTCGATACAGGACAAAGTCTACACACCAGTGGTAAAGTGGAGGACTATTTATCCAACGGGATGCTTAGAGTGATGGGGTTTAGGAATTCACAATACAAATTAGATCGACAACAGCCAAACCACACATAAAATAGGTTGGCAACATACCACTTTTGACCATCAAATCGAGAACTGGAAGGGAGTTTTTGGTGGGAGGATGATACTCCCACAAGGGCAACAGAATTGATTCATTCTGCAAACAACCAAAGAACGGGAGTTAACACGAAACAATGGGGAGGGGATCGGATATACGAGAAGTAAGTAAATGTGAATGGATCAAATGTCAACACACTTGGAGAAACACGCATGATGGAACAGTGCAAAAGATCTAGTTGTAAAACTAAAGGATCTGTCCAAAGAGTTGCCGAGGTGCGTGAAGCCTTGTTGTAAATACACTACAAAGTGCGATAATGTCAAGGATAATGTGTTTAAAACGGATAGCATGCAAGGGGTTGCCTAAAGTACTCTAGTGAAATGTAGGTATTATTTTAGAACCATGTCTCAAAAAGGACAAGGTAGGAAAATAAAAGTAAATACGCTGTCCCAAATGGCAACGGTGAGGGTTTAAAGAATTGGAAAGAGGTTGGCCACAGGTAGAGTTAGTGGAACAACAATCATGTATGCAAAGTGGAGCTGAATGACCACTTCAAATCAGTGAGACCACTTAGTAATGCGCATGTCTCTTCAGATATTCGGGACTCAAAGTCATGGGCACACAACTCGGAAATCAATGACGTATGCAGCTGGATTGCCACGTAATAGGACGCGAAACTGTTACGTAAGTGCAATGGTGCCGTCAAAGAAAGCGCTCATCATTAGCATCGAGACAAGCTGTAAGTTCTAAACGGTCACATAAGATACCCAAATGAACCACCGGAATAAGAGACGAAATTTATCTAAAAAAAATTTTCCTGACGAAAGCGTGGCAGCATCATGGAAAAAATACGAAAAAATGAAGAAATGTAGTATCTCACGTTAACATCTAGACACTCAAATTGAGCCGAATCGAAGAACCGCGATCGTCGTCTGAAATGCTACGAGGCAGACAAAATTTATGGACATATGCTCTGGGCGACTCGTGCCCCGGGATATTGGTGCTCAAGGCCAGTAACCGAAGATGAGATAAAATTTTGCCATGAAACATGTGTGCTCTGGATATCATAGACATCGACTTCAGGAAGAGGTCAAGCCAAGGTCAGCGCCGTTTGAAAACCGGGGCTATGTAGACGCTGAAAGAGGCAAGTAAAGCAGCGCCCGAGAGTAGAAAGACAAACTAGTTTCCTTATCGATGTAAATGACGAAATTAGGATGGAAAAGATCCGAAGAAAAGAACGCTTGGATGCGCGGAACGCCGCGGGTTTCCGTTACATCGCATTTAGCTCAATGGTCTGATGCACAAGACAATGGGGGGGAAAATCCGGCTCAGTAAGGCAGTTGTACCGTTGGACAGAAACACGCTTACTGCTAGTGTAAAGGCAAGCACGGAACAACTTAAACAATCTTCACATGTTTTTCAATCGCAGCAGATGATGCATTAGAGACCACGGCAAGGCAATTCTTACTAAATTCGCAACTTTTGGCCAGGAGTTAGTTCAGGCTAGCGATAGCTAACCACTGAGTGTGGTTTAGGCTTTCCTGTTGACTAAAACGACCTGTGACACTCGCGATTTACGCCAATCGAGATAACCTCATAACACGCACAGTTGCTAACTACAGTAGGTCTCTGGAGTAAGGAGCTATCGATCTCTCCAAAACGTACGACAAGGACGTTAATAGCGGGATTTATTAACTGAAGAATGAGCTGTCTAAGATAGCTGGTTGTGCAAACATTTGAAGCTGTTAGTCAATATCTTTCCACGGAGAAATCGAGTAAGCAAACTACAACACATTGCAAGGATTCATCCTTGTAGCGATGAGGGAGATTGAGTAGATGTCACATGAAACGAATATGCTCAACCAAATGAGGTGATGATGAGCTGGGGCTTATTACATTCAAGCTAGCTGTGAACGTTTGATCGTCAAAGCTGCTGCCATCAACCGACCCTAGAGGCTGTTCGGGCCTCAAAAAGAGCTCAGTTAGGCGTCGCCAGCCCACAAAGCATTTGTAAGTTCCCAGAGGAGTGCGAAAACAATGGCAAAGGTCAAGCTGCTTGAGACGCTAATGGAGGCGAAAGCGGTGTCGGAACTTAACCGAATCCTTTACGTCCACTTTGTGGACTACAGGTAGAGGGATCGTATCCCAACCGGATAAGATGTAGTGAAGCTGCAATAGGCTACCACCGCGCAGGTATCAGCGACGTGATTCCGCGCATGTGCTCGATCCACCTACCATGGGGCAACATCGATTTTTATCTTCTCGCTCTCGATTCGCAGTATTCAGTATCTAACGAGACAGGGACAGTCAGGTCATGACGTCATGCCACCGTAACCCCCTAACTCCATGGCGTAAACTGCTGGCTAGATAGCGCAAGTTGTTATCGGTCATGTGAGCGGTCCCCTTCAGGAAAGCGAGTTTTAATCGGGTGAAACGATGGTCTGGTGAGTTTTCCGAATTTGAGGTTGGACTATCGAGGTTGTAAGCTGCTGAGACGAACCAGTTAAAAAAGAACAGGAGATTGATAAAAATCACTTTCTGGGACTATGGCGCTCGCATTTACCGTCGCTGTCCTGGAGACGCGTTACTTAGCCGTTCGTTGCACATTTCGCTTCAGTCGAAGCGTCAAAGAATTTTTCAGAAAGGATCCCAAAAAGTTTGTTACGGCACACTGGTGACAATATCCTAAGATGATGGCGTAACTCTTGCTGCAGCGTTTCTAATAAGTTCCAGCTAACCGGTTCCAATACAAAAATAACCGGCATGATTTGAAAAATATCCCACGTGCTTAGCAAATGGTCTAGGTTAATGTGAAATAACACCCCAATTTAAAGTGAAGATGGTAGTTGTGTATTTGTGTTACGTCGCTAACCATTGAAAAGGGCAAACAAACAATAAAACGCAACATGATAGTACTTCTTAAATTGCGTGTGCATGTGAGACCATAACTCAAAGTGCCAGAATAATTACCTTGGATTTGGGTTCCGGTCGTTCTGCGTGTTCCGGTCCCGGCAAATGAGAGGGGAAGAAAAATGCCATGAATATTAAGCAAAACTATTGTAAGGGAAAGATAATGAGCACTGCGAATTAAAAGGGTGTTATCTGTTCATTGATAACAAAGCAATGTAAAAGACCAAGCTTTTTAATGGTTGGAAGATCAACCAGTTGTCGAAATAGCTCACAGCCGCAACCACGTACTCCAGCTAGTAGAATTCGGTGGATCAGCTCATCTGTGAAGGCACATGAAAGTCAATTTGGAGCACACAATTTTGTGATAAGAGTGAAGAAAATAGCAAAGAATATGGATTGAGATAGGGCAAATTCGCTTGCTGTAGAAATAAAGTCATAAGAAGTACACCAGCACACGGGACTGACGCTTCGCAGCAATTTGACCACCACTACCACTCGCATGTGGGCTGGGCATACCGGAACGTACCCTCGCACCTTCGCAGATTCGAACCGGTGACTTCTAGACTACAACACAGATGCCTCAGCCTTGTGGTCAGCGGTTCGTGATGCCTGGACGTTTAGTAGGAGAAACAGTCGGGTCTAGAGTATGTTGGAGAGATTGACTTCAGCCAAAACGCTTCGCAGACTGTTTTATTAATTCTAGCAAGTAGCAAGTGCTCGTAGCCGTAGGTGTCTAACCCGGTGCTCTGCGAGATAGTAGGGGATGAGCCCCGCTATATTGCGGTTAGTAAACAATGATGAGGCCTCACCGATCTCTCAGCGGAATAGAAAGGGACAGAGGGAGCTGCTGATGAATTGTATGAGAGCGAAACGTCCATTCGATATAACGCTGGCGTTGTCCAATTGAAACTGACCGTAGGGAACCGCTTCAAAACAGACCAAAGTAAAGAGCACCGCCTGGTTCACAACTGACCTTTGGAGAGCAACAACTATCTGCGTGACAAATCCTGAGCGTACAGATTGATAAGAAAGGATGTACTTGTCCACGTAGGTCCTTCCAGACTCACTGGCTGATGATTGATGTGACAGCGCAACATAACGCCTGCTCTCAGCAGTTCAAAGTAAAAATTCAACGTGGACGTTTCAATCTCGGAGCACAATCAAACATAGTACCATAGCAGGGGTTCTCAAACAGTTTGGCCCGTATAGCCCATTTTAGTGGAACCACGCACGGCGGACACTTTAACATACTGTTAACCACAGGACTCGGAAATAACAGAAGGAGAGTGAGGCACGGTGTCTTGGAAACGGACGTTACAGAACGCTGAACTAACAAGAGTGTATATAAATTTTGGAAAAAAAGGAAAGCTGTTGAACTTCAGTAGGAAAACGATGTGCATGAAGGCTTATTGTGTGGGAGGAACTTTCTGTCGTTACGTTGGGACCACCAGGGCCAATATAGATACAGTTGTCCCACGGAATGTAATTTTCTCGCATAAAATTGTTTACGATGTCGTACATCTCGGTGCCACCAGTGTTCTTCGTAAGAGGTTCACATGAAAGTGTCTCTTCTTCTACGGATGGCAGATGTTGGTACTTTAAAAGCACAATCAGCACGGCAAGTCCTGCCACATCTGTGGACTCATCCATTTGAAGAGCGAAGTGAGTATATCTTAACAGCAGTTGCTAGTCTGTCTGAATTCTGAGGTACCGCGTGGTTTGATAATGGTATTACAGACGGTTTGTTTTACTACGTTAGCATGCAGTACGCAACTAGTCATCTCGACTGAAACGGCTTGATAAGTTTCTCCCTATTGTGTCAGGTTATGCCCTCAGTGCAATACAATAACTACGTAACATGCTTCAGAGACACTTTCATTTACAGTCTGAGACACATGAAGTACGTACGTTTGGGTGTTCAACAGTTCATATCGCCTGCCCTCAAAGTACTCCTTTTTTGTGTTTTTACAGTCCGCATTAATTTTTCAAAATGCTGCCGCATATTTACGGGCACCATAGAACTGTTCGGAAGAACTTTCGAACACAAGACACACACGGTGGGTATTGCTGAACTCAATAAGTGCAAAAGAAAGATAAACACCGTTGTATTTACGCCTCACCTCCGTTTGGCATACATTTATGTTGCATCGCATAAGGTGGTACAGGTGAATCAGACGTCTCAGTTGCTACATTCGCAGAGGGCACATTATATGGCCCAACTAATGGCACATCTGAATTTTACGATGAAAATTATTGTCTGTCACACAGTAAGCAGTGTTTCAGTCTTCAACTATCGGTCCTGTTGATGTTGTATGTCCAAATGCCGAAATGGAAATAAATAATACAATACAAGAGTCCAGAACACACCACGAATTTGATTACTGTGATAAAATGAAGTTTGAATGAAGTTTATAATGATGTGCATAAAATAGACAGCTTTTTGTTACGTCGCGGAGATACTTTCTCTCCAACTCGCGAAATCAAATGAGCATTCTAGTAGAACACCAAAATATGCACCCTTTACTTCTGGGCTTCCGTGGGTGAGATCGCGGATTGCGGAGAATGGCAACTTTCGAAATGACTGCAAAAAAGCCATATCTTATCACGTACTTTGGCCTCCTCCAAGGGGCAGAGCTTTGGTTATGAGTTTGCGCGGACGTAGAATGACCCAGCCAGCTTTTACCCATCGCGTTACTGTGAGATTACTACACTACCTTTCTGACATTTGACAGCTCCGATCAATCATAGTTTAAGTCCCTGCTAAAACTATGTTCCTACTTGGAAGGAGGGTGTTTCACATGGATGATGCGCACAAGGTTAATGTAGATTGTCAGATATAGATCAACAAATTTCACAGTAGGTTGGTTATCAGGCTATGAAATAAAGTGATCACCCCCAGAAGACTGTTTAGTGGAAGTATAATATTTCATGCCATTCCGCGGACCCCCAAGGGGTCTAGTACAAAATACCAGCTAGTAGATCTCTCAATTGTTCCATCGGTGGTCGAACTGGACACGATCATTGCACTAACGATAGAATCTCACATGGAGAACCGATCAAGAAGTGAGCAACCAACATTGGCTACTAGTGTTCCAACTTATTGTCAGGACCGAGAATGTGCAGCCGTCCTTAGTCGAGAAGTACCAGTTTCTAAATGTCATCAACATGCAAAGGCAACGGCCCCTATCAATTGAGTGACCGTTAAATCACCTACATTTGGACTATAAGCAGGCAACCCAAGGTCTTTCTAAATGAATTGGAACTGAAAGCAAACATGGGTTTCATCGATGTGTATGGTGATTGCTGTTAATGTAAGAGGGATAAACTGAAGACAACGTGTGAAGTGTTTCACATATTGAAGCGCAACATGCTGATTTAGACACGGAATTCAGAGGGACCTGCCTTGACTGCCAGTAGACGAACCCGGAAACGAAAATACAACTAACTTCAGGAATCGAGCCAATAAATAAACATCTAAGCGAAGAGACAAGGAAACCGCCCAGCAAGTTAAGGACGCACTTGGTGGCGGTCGAGGCACAAAGGTAGAGGAAATGACCGGAGGTGGAGGAAGTAAAACGTCCGCATGAGCCTCGGTCGCCGGTTCTCTTTCCTCGTTTTCATTTGTCGCTTCCATACGATCGACAGTAGCGTAGTTGGCCGGACCGCAGTTCTTCCGAGGCCTTCCTCTAGGGCGACCTCTTACCTGTTTGGCTCCAATAGGGAAAAGGCTAGGCGAGGATGCGGTAGGTCGTTGTATAGAATTTCGCTTGCCCAAAGCTGGGCGGAGAGGTAGAATGTGAACGGGAGGTCGGGCGGGAGAGGATTCGGTGCGTAACAAAATGCTCTCAAGCCGGCCACTCTGCCAAGTCAGTACTTCACCAGGCGATCCACGCTTATGACCACTGAAACTGCCCACACGGCTGCTCACTGCGGTGTGCACTGGTGTGGCCGAAGACGCAGTGACGAGCGAGTGGATGGCTGGGGTGTTATCCGAAGAGCCAGAGGTGCGTGGCTCAATGGCAACGGCCGGTCGGACCGACTGACATGTGAGAAGGGAAAAGGAGTACAGAAATCATAAGTGTGACTATGATAAATCAATCCTCGGTGAGGATATTTGGTGTAAATACACTAAACAATCTGTACATAAAGTCAATAGAGGCTAAGGCAGAAGATTGGATCGTGCAGTATCAGGGAAGCTATCAGAAAGCTGAATTAATGAAAAGGATTAAGATTCGAAACCAAGAATGAGAAAAAGCTTGGAAAGCTGAATGTTCAGTCAACTCGACCTAGTGAAACAAGCACTTGACATATCGGGAATATTTCTGTACACTCAGGACCCAGCTGATCCTACAGCCTGTATTCATCCCATCGGTTCACAGCAATAAGTGGAATGCGGTGGAATTGCCATATCTTCAAGCGCAACACAACCGTGCGATAGAGATAATTACCAGTGAATTCACAAAACGGGTTCTAGCAAGCAACCCACTAGGGAAACGGATCCTTCTCTTGCACAAGCACGTCAGAGTGGATTGGTGCAGGACATTGCATGCTTCGATATACGTTCACCTGCAGGCAACAGGCACCATAGCTGTGCTGGAACGGGTCCACACAAATTCGAGTATCATCAGAACCGAGCAATGCCTCGAAGTAATCAGTCAGTTTGCATAGCTAGACAAAAGTGTGACCTCAAGTGGTCACATTGTGAGAGCGATCGCGCAAATATGTGAAGCTCTTATGACTTTCCACATCCACAGTCGTCTATGCCGTCAAGGTGTGATGTAGGTCTATCAGGCAATGGTAAGGTATGTAACACGGCAACTAACCCACCCGATTTATGTACATAGTTCCATTTGCTCAGTGGTATCATATAGTACCCCTTGCGTGAGGTATCGTTAATTCTACTTGATTTATTCTCATGATGGATGCAGTTTAACTGTTTACCGCGTTATCATGTCTGTTCACATACTATCACTAAGTAGAAATTGCAACATACCAATGTTATGAAAATTTTAATTACATTTTTCATGTGTATATTGTTACTCACCTCCTAAAATGTTGTTGTTACGTTTTCTTTTCCCAAGCATTCGCCTAAATCTGTCTGAACGTTTTGCAATTGCCATGGATTTCGACAAATGTTGAAACGAAATAAATGGCGTAAGTATCAATGGAATTGGAACCCCAAGTGCATTTATACAGCCGTTTGTAACATCACACGGCATTTCTAGCGTACCTCATAATCGGACCAGCTTAGCTGGGTCGTGCCTCACCTAATTGAGAATATACCAAGTTAACATTGCTGTACGTGCCAGAAGCCTTGTCAAAGCGTGTACCCGATATTAAAAGACCGTCCACCGCGGTTTTGTTCGTGCCTGGTAGAAACACTGAGTGAGCAATGCTGAGATCTAATAGATGTTGTTTGGCAACAAAAAACCACCGGTGCACGAGTAAACCATCACCTCTTGCACCCCAGCCAACTGTGTTGCCTGGTGTTTGTGTCCGGGCCAACACAGTTGGCTGGGGTGCAAGAGGTGATGGTTTACTCGTGAACCGGTGGTTTTTTGTTGCCACACAATATATATATATATATATATATATATGTATATATATATATATATATATATATATATATATATATATATATATGGAGAGAGAGAGAGAGAGATTGGCTATCTCCTGGTATATTAAGCACGACGCGCTTCCATGGGTCAAGTTTAATGGCGTGCACTGAGGCAGACAGGGATTTGTGGTGCGAAACACCTCAGCTATCGTATCACAATCCATTCAGAGCAGTACCTGAAGTAATAAATCCTTTACTGAGTATTAAACTTTATTTTGACTGTGCATCAAAAATAAGATTAGCATTGAAAAACATTAAGCAGGTGAGTGAAGACAAAAAAGCTCAGAACACATGATACTGAGGTCGCATCTTAGTAACGTCAACAAAATCTTTTAGGAAGGCCTGTTCGTTGTTTTTGGGACTTAAAATGTAGGAGTTAAGAGGTGCAAACCGATGCATAGCTTGATGTAAGAGTTTTCAATCTTCTTGATCTACCTAACAACAAAGTAGCCGGATTGGACGAAAAGACATGTTTGGGCAGTGCATGTCTTCCCGCTTCCAGAGTAGGACCTCAAGAGCTGCCACATGGGTGGATACATACCTTATTCGACACGATTTAGCAATGATGTCAGAAGCGCACAGGGTACTACATCAAACAATTGCTGAACCAATGGAATTTCCGCCAAACTTTAACCGTCTGCACTAGTAAGTTCATTTTCGTCTAATACCAATCAACAACTAACATCGGTGAGTGCTGTCTGCCAATGTCACGATAGGCAACGTGATAAGGCAAAAAAACACTATCAGCGCACAGGCACCTCGTGCCGATGCCCCACCGTCACACAACCGCTAATAGTCGCATGGAAATTAGAGTTATGGTGAGGTCGCCTGAAGCGATACCGATGCGGACCGGAGATCTGTGGTTTAGGAGGCAGACGTTTTAGCCGCAAAGAAAGAAAGGCATCAGTAGTACGCCGGTGCACAGTATCAGTGTTTCGCTGCCATGCAACCACCACCGGTCGTACGTGGGCTAACGATACGTCTAGTGTCGCCCTGCTTCAACGGAGGTTCGAACCTGCGCCGTCAGATTACGGGCCAAGCTGGTCACCATTAGGCTACGGGCCGGCTTTACCCACTAAGCCGCCGAATGAGTCAAGTGTTGGTAACAGTGCATGACGCTAGCGGGCATCGTTCTGCCGATGGATGCCTCGAGATCGGTTATAGTACCAGACAAAGTGCAACCGAGGAGTCAGTGGTGTTTCATCTTACATCTATTCATCAACTTTCACCTCAAATGAACCCAGGACGCCGGGTTTACGGAACAAAGTGAAGATATCTGTTGTTACAGAAATCCAAGAGTATGAGACACTCACCAATGAAATTGTAGGAGCAATACGCGGCAGGTTTGGTGGCAACGCGGGATGTTGCGCTTCAGGTTGCTCTTGTTCCTCCGCATCGTACTTATCATCGTACAGATCTTCTTCAGAATACCTACCACGCTTTTCCTGTGACAACGGACTGGGAAGAATTTTCTACCATGAAAAAGAAACCGTAAACAGATAACATTTTGATTTGAATGCGATGACGTTTCGCGTCAATTCCATGTGATTAGACTTAAACATAAGCTCAGTGGATCAAAGTATGCTTACAGTAGAATGGAAAAGTAAAGCTGTATAAAAACCACAAAATACGGAGACCAACGATACAGGCAGTATTACGAACTCACCCTATAGGCATAAACACTTGCTCTGTGTGCCATAGTTTGGATCAAACAAATGTCAAAACGAGGAAGGAAGTGGAGCCGTCTGTAATGCAGAAAGCCAACATTGGAGAACCCGTTCAAGGTAACGAGTGGAACTAATATTATAGAATGCAAACCGAATTGTAAAAATATAGTATAATATTCATAAAAAGCATCTGCTTGAAGTAAAAGTTTCTGACAGTACTAACGCTTAGCGCAGTTACACATAGCGGGGTGGGAATGATTTGCCTAGTGATGCAAGTTTCAATAGCGCAGTCCAGGTGGACGGCTGGTGGAAAAGTCTGCTTTTTACCCGTTGTCCACGAGAGATCAGTTGCATCCGTACAGAGCGGTTCACATCTCCAAACAGAAAATGGTTGCGTCGACTCCAGAGGAAACTATGTGAGAGTAAAATTTACTTCTATTTCTTTCAAACGAGAACTCGGAAGTGCAAACCACCTGTACTTCCAGATCACATTCGCAAATAATAGCTGATGGATGTTGAAATAACTAATGTCTTCCTTAAAAGGACTTTACAATTATTGTGTGTTCGATTAAGCTTATCTCTAGATGCAGTGGATTACCACGAGAGTCTAGTAAACTTCATTGTTACCAAACATTTTGATGCATGTCACAGATTTGCTTCATAGATTTTAAATGATCCGTATCAGCCATTCCACGATGAGTTACCGAAAACTCGTTCCTTCTCATCTACAAGCTCAAAATGTAAGGCTCTGTATTCTCGCACCGCTTCTTATCATAACACCGAATTACCTTATTTGTCACGTCTTCTAGTGTATTCTACAATGATCGTTGATACCACGCGTGAACGTTCGCTTAAGTGAGTGTATGTCTATCTTGTTTTTTTATCCATTCGCATGTCTATTTAAGTAGACTTTTTGACCCCAATTTTTCATCCGCAGTTCTAGTGTAAAATGTGTTGAAAATACGCTCAGTCGGGTAGAGAAAGTTTACTTTGACTTGGATAACTTGACTTGAATGACAAATCCAGGTATGGATAATGGAGAACCGGACCATAACTTTGACTTCCCTAATACCCTTTACCCTACTCTCTCTCCGATTGGAATGGAATAAAATCTCATCATCTGTAATGGACAGAAATACAGTGCACAACGAATGCTGCAGCTACATTCCAATTCGATGGCTGGACCGAACGGACAATCTGCTCTTATCCTCAAGGGGTGTGCCGATTCCAATAACCAGCCTCTTGTCGGTTTGTACACGCCCTGCGTGAAAGGACATAAAACTGTGGACTGTTGGAGGGGCGTCAGCATTACACCAGTGTCGAAGAAAGGTCCAAATAAATACCAGACAAGTTGCTGTATCTCAGTAAATGTTAAGGTACTCGGCAATCCCAGTCAGCATTAGGCTCCACAAACTCATTCAAGAGTGCCAACTAGTGAGTCAGTTTGTCATGATACTATTGAACAGTAGACTGTGAATTCAAGTTACAGGTAAAAAGGTTAGAAGGTAGACGCTTCTTTGAAGCGAGATGAATGAGCGCCAGAACGTGGTGGGGAATCCAGACACGTGCTGCAAATTGACCGACAGTCTTGGACTGATGTGCGCCATCTGTACTTGATGGTAATATGGTCAATTTGGATCCAAGTCATGGTGGGATTCGGTGGGCACCACATGACGCGATGTGAACGTTTGTGCTGGAAAGCATTGCTGCTAATACAAAGATTGTGGTCGGCGCACGGGTGCAGGAATCGAACAAAACTGCCTGTTAGGCGTGCATCTGAAGGGCGAGCCACTTGAGCATTCATGCCCAAGCAACAACCATGATGTCAGTGTTCTTCGCCACAGGGAGAAGAGATGAGAGCTGATTGAGGGAAATCGTCTTTGATACCTTCAAAAGTGAATTCAGTAAGGGGCATAAATGGAGCGATGAAAAGGTACGCTGCCTTCAAGCGATGCTTATTAACTCTAATAGAGGTTAGAAGTCGAAACGCACGCATACGGCTGTTCACTGGTATCCAGTCGAGCAGATGATCTTCGGCATGTTTGTTGAGAGTAATACCAACACCGTGAATACCTTGAACCAATGACACGAAATCGCCAAAGACGTGTAGTGTAGTTATTGTCGTCAAATTCAGAACCAGGGTGTCGAAGACATTGGTATCTTGTATACGTGTTTCGGAGACACGGCACACATCAATACCAAGAGAGTGAAGAGTGAGAGTCAGTCCTGCCTGTGGACGTTAAAGGAACCAATGTGAAATAAAACTTCAGGTTTGATGGAAGAGCCACATGTATAGATGGAAGCAGCTGTGAGGTCAGCGTCTGCCTTTTGCTCAAAAAATGGGAAGAAGAGAGTTGAGGAGAGAAAAAAGAAAGATTATTGTCGACAGTGTCGATGGGGCAGATGATACTCTATGGCCGCCCATTCTGAAGGAGAGGTTTGATTCGAAGTATCCTACCTAGACTATGAAATAACACTGGTTCAAAAGGTAGTGGGAGGTAGGGAGGTTCGCTTAAAGGACTCCACCAGGGCCTTTGGCTCAATCGTCTGAACCACAAGGCAGTAAGGAGCAAGTCGGGAGCGTGATTGGAAAGACCCGTCGAGATTTGCTTGAGACCTGTCACACACAGTCTTTGGAGATTTAGGACAATGTACATATGTTTCAGGACCACAGTATGTTACGTACTTCATGTTTCATATTGGTTGCATTTATTGTGCTTCTTTAATGCAGTTGGGCTAGAGTGACTTACGCTTGTTTCGCAATACACTAGATCCGACTGATTCAATTTATTATATATGCCTGCATATGTTAACCATCCGCATATTCCCTGTTTAATTTCTTTTGCTTACACCGCTAGTTGGTTGATGCGTCCTGACACACTTACACCTGAGATACCCCTTACACGTTTTGTTGCACTCTATTCTGTCCTTCCGCCGCGCATTTACTGTCCAGTTTGTGCGTCTTTTGTTATTCATGCTCTGCGTTCGCTGTTTTATAGCCTCTGTGTGACTGTACTTGAGGTGGATGCTGACAATGTGCCTACTTGCGAAAAAATGTTACCTGGATTATAACAGCACCAGGAGACAGTTGGCCGTTCCTTAAGGAGACGAAGTGTATGATCCTCGTGACCGTGTTTGCCTCAAAGAGTGATTCCTTGGATCCAATGTGGAGCGGAGTGCGGCCCAGCCACCGCCTTGTATACGTCTGGTACGCATGATTACCCGGATTAGACAGGAATGCTATTGTTGCTGCTGCTACTACTACTGCTACCACTACTACTACTACTACTACTGCTATGCAAACTGAAGAAGTGTGGACTGTAGCTTTTGACGAAAAGTGGCTCCTATCCACATGCCTCCGAGTTTCACCCCTTCGAGTTCACACTAGATATGGGGTCTGTGGATGAGGCCGTGGGTCGTGCAGTGCAAGTCACCCATGGTCCATCTCTATACGCAAGCGTCCTGTGGCTGTCACATTGAGGCCAGAGTGACAGACAAAGTCGAAATCGGGTGCCGCCAACTATCATGCACTTGTGACCACGGCCAGCCGCATGTGGGAGTTGGCTGGTTTGCCCCAATTTGACCAGGGACTGCCTAGCTTGAAGCAGTGGAAGCAAGTCATGTGCCACCGTGCGGTGCCATCCAACTGTCAGTAACACTGTGTGGCGCTCGTGCTCTACACCAATCGAGCTGTGAGTCCGTGGCCTAAAAGACTACAAGCCTACTTTGTAATTTGAGGGCGCAGGTTCGAGCCAGTGTAGGGAACTGGGTGACCCTCTCATTATCCTTAGACCACGCGTTAGTGCTGGTGGTTGCGCGGCAGCGAAGCGTCGGTACGCAGAACCGACGTAATGTTGATACCTTTCGCGGTCTTTTAAACTGTAAACTTGTTGTCTCCAATGGCTACTGTTTTAAGGGATGGAAGCTATCAACTGAGTGCGTTGCCTGACACAAAGCGAGCACCATGTTGGGGGTAGTTTTGACCACGGTGGCAGTCGATCAAACAATGGAGACAGACTACTGACCCTTCGTTCTAATGATCGCTTGTTTCTTTCGAGCACCAGTTTTCGGTACTCGAAGAGACAGACTGCTACCAAGAGCCCGCCTTCTCAAACTTAAGAGTGATCACAGCTTGACCACATTAAATAACCTGTAGATAGCGCGGAAGTGTAGCAGACGGCCATTCGTACCGGTCAACACGCGCAGACTCCGATCACGCATGCATCTGGGAGAATAGCCTAGGCGTACGCACTACGGACCAAGCGTTGAAAACCTACAAGACCCTACGGCGTTAACCAAGTACTATATATATATATATATATATATATATATATATATATATATATATATATTCACAGTCTGTTAACAGACATTGTGTCATCAGAACCACGGCAGACGAAAAAGGTGAAGAAGATGGGAACACTAATGCGATTTAAAGAAAATGTGGGAAACGATTTTTCGTGGTTTTACACACGCCATTTTGTTTTGTTTTGTTTTGTGAGTTTGTATGTGTATCAAAGGGATGGTGAAATTGCGGAACAACATTGCCGCCACTGATGTCTGTTGCGGGCCATGACGTCCAGTGTTTCCAACCACTGCAATTCAGCATCTCGTGGTCCCCAACCTGAGAGGCGGACTGGTCCGACTGCTGCCAAACTTGAGGTCGCCTTCTTCATACTCCTTCTCCACGTCATCGGCTGTCCACCGCGGCACTTTTTCCAATCGCTCCCTGGGAGTGCGAATAGCGCTCGACGTGGAAGGCGATGGGCTGGCATGCGCAGAACATGCCCGAGCCAGCGCATGCGATGTCGGAAAATAACGTCTTGAAGACTGGCACTATTCGCCCCAAGCACGCGGTCTCTCATCTCTGCGTTGCTTACGTGGTGTTGCCACCACACCCGAGCAATCCTTCGTAGACAGCGATTATCAAAGACTGATAGCCGCTTCATATTTTCCGAGCGAATAGGCCGTCTCACAGCCGTACAAGAGTACTGCACGGACGGAAGCATTGTACACCCTGCCCTTGAGCTTG